CATAACCAGTCACTTTCACCACTTAGATTCCTTGCAAAAGTCAAGAATATTCGGAAATTCGCCGTTGTAAGGGATGGGTTGTATTCAGGCTAAGGGGACCGTGTGCAGCCCTACAAATGGTCTTGGAAAGTTGAAACTAGACAATGGATATGTTCAAGGACGTGATGCAAAGAAACAGGATCACAATAAGGCATCTCGGCCCAAAGTGGACGTTAAGAATGAGGTGGTTGCCGCCGGCGGTGGTGGGCGGGAGAGAAAGATCAGTAGAGAAGGTGAGAGAGGCATCAATGGCGGTGGAAATGTTTCACAGAGGATTTCAGTCAAGAAACTTGCTGTAGATGAACTGGTTGGTGGATGGCCTAAATGGCTTGTTGATCATGTTCCCAGCGATGTTTTGGCTGGTTTTATTCCAACAACTGCTGATTCTTACGATAAGCTCGCAAAGGTCAGTATTAAACAAATAAATAAGTAATTTTATCAGAAAATGAATGCAATAATAATTAACTTTGATTTTATCTGCAAATTCAGTGAGAAACATTGCGTTTTGGTACATGATATTCAATTATATGGACTTTTACCAGCTATGAACCTCTCTGAAACCAACAGAGGGTACTCTTGAATTGAGAAAAAATTCTCTCTGTGTATCTCTTTATCAAGTGTTTCTTACCCTGCAGGTAGGCCATGGAACGTATAGCAATGTGTATAAGGCTCGGCATAAGTTCACCGGTAAGCTGGTTGCCTTAAAGAAGGTTCGTTTCGATAAATCAGAGCCTGAAAGTGTAAAATTTATGGCAAGAGAGATCATAATGTTGAAGCACCTTGACCATCCGAATATTATTAAGCTTGAAGGAATAGCCACATCAAGAATGCAATACAGTCTTTATCTAGTATTTGATTTTATGCCATCAGATTTAACCAAAGTCATCTCACGTTCAGAAGGAAGGCTTACTGCACCTCAGGTCGATTTTATCCTCCACTATTGAATACAATTTCAGTTTAGATTTCTGTCATTAAAATTCAAAAAAAAATTTAGCATATGGTAAGAAAACATCTCATTCATTTTGATTGGTATCATGACAACACAAAACTAAGCTCTACTTTCAATAAATTTGGGGTTGGCTACACGAATACTTTTTTGAGCTCCTGAATGTGTGTAGGTCAAGTGTTATATGCAGCAGCTGCTCTCAGGTCTTCAGCATTGCCACGAGAGGGAAATTTTGCACAGGGACATAAAAGGATCCAATTTGCTGATTGACAGGAATGGGATGCTCAAGATTGCTGATTTTGGGCTAGCTAATTTTTACAAAAACAAAACAAAACCCACTCTCACGAGCAGAGTTGTGACATTATGGTACAGAGCCCCAGAACTACTACTAGGCTCTACAGATTATGGGGTTGGCATTGATCTGTGGAGTGCAGGATGCCTGTTAGCAGAGATGTTTGAGGGACGACCAATTATGCCTGGCAGGAACGAGGTAATACCATCTTCAAGTACTTGTGCTGCTACTAGCTAAAATCTAAGCAGTATTATTTGTAATACTAAAGAGTAAAACATATAATCACCCTGTATTCATGAAGCTTATTAAGCTCTTTGTGTATTCAGATTGAGCAGCTTCATAAGATATTCAAGCTTTGTGGTTCGCCCCCCGAGCACTATTGGAAAAAATTGAAGCCACCAACAACATTCCGCCCTCCACAGCATTATAAACCATGTTTCCAGGAAACCTTTCCAAATTTCCCCGACTCAGCATTTGGTCTTTTGGGCAGACTTCTTGCTTTAGATCCTGCATATCGTGGCACTGCTGCTTCTGCTCTTGAAAATGAGGTGAGTTACAGAAAGGAAGAACATTTACCGCACTAATAATTGCTAAACTTGATTGAAAAGGGAAAAACAACTGAAATTGCAAAATGATGGAAGTTTCAGGCTTCTGTTAAAATCAAGAAATAGTATCCTGTTTAATCAACCATCTAAGATGTAAGCAATGTAGCATTAGATTCTTCAAATGATAAAAGGATATACAGAATTTAGAAGTGCTTAAGCATCTTCCTCCTCTATCCTCTCACCTTCCGAAGATTTATCACTCAAGGCATAACCTCCTTTTCCTTATGAAGAAGTCAATATCTGTCTAAAGGCAACACAGGATATACGCCAGGAGAAATTTTTTACCTTTGCTGACTGTTGTATAATTTACAGTTCTTTTGTACAAGTCCATTGGCATGTGATCTCTCTGGTCTCCCTGTGATAAGCACAATAGAGGATGAGACTATCCAGTCTAATAATAGAAGAAGGTAAAATCATCTCTTTAAAGTTCGAAGTATCCTTTTTTGTCAGAAGTGTAAATATCATTGCATTATTGTGCCGAGATTTTTCATGTTACATTGATAACAAACTGAAGGCAGAAGTCAAATTGATATGTAGTGTCAGGCATAATATTTACTCTGCACCACGTATTCTTAAAGGGTTTAAGAATTTAAATTAGTTACTTTATGGGTACCAATACATATCACGAAGATACAGCTACTTGGGAGAAGTAAAACTTATTCGTACCGTTTTCTTCTTTTGTCAAATTTGGCCTTGGTTAATTTGCTCGAAAATAATTCATGCTTTCCTGTCCTGTATAAACAGAACTGGGAAAGCACAGCAACTATCTCGCAAGAACCATGGAGGTCAGAGAAGAAAGGTATCATTCCACGAACATATCAGAGTAAGGCTCCAAATACACAAGCATTTAATGAGTTTCTATGGCATTCTTTCTAACTCTATGCTGCATGTTAAACTTTCTCCCAATGCAAGCACAAACATCTCCCTATCAACGACGAAAAAGAAAAGTGCCCTAGTTTAGTTGAGGAATTGCTTTACATAAAATGCATGAGAATGCTGAATTCTGTCACCACTCACAAATTTTCTCCTAATTTTTAGCAGGAAATACAGACATCTCATAGCTTCCAAAGCTTAGATATGATTCATAGTATGAGTAGCACTTCCTCGACCACCAACCAAAGCAATCAAGAGACCCTGCCTCATTCGCCTTCTCCAGCTTTTCGTTCTATGCTTAACAAATCTTCAAAAACCGAGGCACATCCTAATGCACTGAAAAACATCAAGAACTATCCTCTCCTACTGGCCTCTTTGACTGAAGCTGCCAACCACCTTGAAGAGAGTAGATCAAATCTTTTTCGCAGATCCTTTTCCAACATTGATTTCAGAAATCTTGATCTGGAAAAGATCTCAAAACTCTTTGGCCTAGAGGATAAGTAAGCTGCAGGAGAAGATCTCTGTTTCCCTTGGACATGCTAGTTATGTTGCGATTCTCTTATCACTGAATTGGTGGTAGCTTGTTAAAAAAAGAAGTTTCTGGTCCATTTTTATGTACAAATGTTGGTTAGTATTAGTACAAATTTGGCTGGTTTTCCTAGATTTATCAAATGATCATCTCCAGCCAGGACATCACAAATGTATGTACAAAAAGTACTTCAATCTATCTAGTTTCATAATTCATCATCATATATGTTACAATTCTCACAAGGACAACAATTCAGGAAAACCAAAAACCAAAAACACTTATCCTTGAACAACAGAAATTTTATAGGACAAACAACACACTTGATTTGTTCCATGAAAACCAAAAGACCAGATTTTTTATCGGCCTAACTCGACGATGAATCATAGTAGTCGTCTCTGAATTTGCTTTTAATCCATTTAAAACTATTTCTTAATGACGATTTCAGCTTACCCTCCACGGCATACATATTATAGGCTGCCACCCTCTTCCTCCTTTCCATCTCTGGATTGTCCCTCGGACCATTGAAGCTATACGATTTAGTGCAATCTCCAAAGTCGAATCGAGCTTGATCTGTGTGCAAAGACGAGTAACAAGGGAATGTTTTGCTTCTCTCCATGATCAAAAACTCACAAGTCTGAGGAAAAGAGAATAGCTTATTGCTTTTTATATACAAGGATAGAGAACAGAACATGGACCCGAGCCACTGCAATGTGTACATTAGTGCGGCTTGCACGCGCCATGAGGTGACCTTGATTTGAAGACCAAAGATTTTCGGAAGATTTGAGTGTAGTAACACCAAATAACTTTTTGGAAAAAATACTTCTTTAGACTTTAGAGTCATCTTATTTATCGTATACAAATAAAGTTGGTAATTGACGTTGAGCCAACTTCCACTCACAAATGGCCCATTTAGTGGCATAGCCCACTAATGTTAATGTCATTAGTGGAGGTGGCCCAGTACAGTTTGGTTATGAAACACCCTGGCCCAACGTGGGCAATTGATTGGTTAGTTTTGTTTCTAATTTTTTTATTCTTCCTTTATCAATAACAATTATTAATCAAACTTCATTTTAGCAGCAAATTTCAACGAACTTACGAGTATTATTCACCATTCTAATTGTATACCAAACTTAACATTTGTAACCACAATCAATTTACCTCGATGACTCATTTTTTTAAATTTAGTTTTCCTCAAATTTATTTTTCAATCACATTTCATCAATTTTAATTTTTTATCAGAATATACTAAAAATTTGATTTTTAGCTAAATCAAACAAGGACGTAATTCATTTTCTACATAAGTCACTTCAAAATCCACGGTATGGCATGGCTTAATCACATGAAGCTGGTTCTTTGAAACATGACATGTTCAAACATAATGTTGGAAGCTGATGCATGATTGGGTACAACTCATTAATGCTACATTATGATGATAACGCACAGCATTAGCATTATCTTTCTTTAAGAACAAACACAAAAGTCAACACTTTGCTTCTTGTGTCAATTACATTAATTTCAGCTAAACCAATGGGGCATCTATTCATCTATTTTCATTTTTCCCCTGTCAACTTTATTAATTTATTTCTGAAATACAGAAATCTACACAAGAAAGAACAGGTATGAGGCAGAAAAGCACGAGGCATGAACACTGTAATCACAAAATGCTTGATTTGCAAGTCTAACAAACGTAGATTGATGATAACAAGGACCTACGCTGTGCATCACTGAGTTTTAGCTAAAGAAATCAGCTCCACTCTCAACATCATCCGTTTTAATGCTTCCGCATTGAGCCATTAGTATTCTGTATACTCTCTTAGAGCAAATCTCTCCTAATCTTCTATCACCACCAGTTAAGCCTTCTATCGTCAAATCCTTCAACAGAAATTCTTTCTCGTGCACCTGACAATTTTGGTACATATATCAGAGTTGCATCATGAAGAAAACTAAGGAAAGAATCATAATGTTTCCAAATATATACAAATTGATCTGTGGCTGAGATGCATTGAATTAGCCATCAACCAGTACAAGGAAAAAGCGAGTAGGAAATATGACAGGCTATAGCAACAGATAATCAACTGAGGGAAAGAGAATAATGTTCTTTGGAGGGGATAGATCCAAATTTGGTAATAACGCTTAATCCAAAGATAGAGTTTGTGAAAACTAGACCTAAAACAAGACACTTACCAAAACAAGCCTCTCTTTTGATGTGACTCACTTACAGAAGTCCCAAGGGAAATCAACCGATACCTAGTGAAAGTGGAACTGAAATACTTGCACCACATATTTGACAACTGACGAGTTATATATGTCAAAGAATCTGTTATCAAGAGTTCAATTGTTTGTTTATTTTATTTACTTTATTCCTCTAATTCAGAGTGAAGCTTATTTTATGTTCCTAAAATTCTAGAACCTCATGTTACACTAAGGGAACTCGGTTTTCACGCAAAAGAAAAATGAAAGCTTCATTTGGTTTCAGGAACCTCTAGAGATTCAGGGAAAACACTGAAAGGGGGAGAGAGGTGAGTCATTTTTAACTCATTCGTGTATGCTTCGAGAACAGTCAGATCAAGAACCTAGTTTACGTGTTACTTGTTCTTAAGCCTTTGATAACTATTCCAACTTCCAAGTACATAATCAGAAAACTCAAGTACTTTACCTCCAATCATGTATTCAATTAACATGCATGAGCTGATCTGTTGGTAATAGATTCAAAGAGAAAAATGTTGCACCAAAAAGTAGAGCAAAGAATGGTATATCTACTTTACACAAGACTCACCGATTTACCAGGATCCATGTAAACGCTCAAAAGAGATTTCATTGTGGGATATTTCTTCCAAATGGCAACAGCAAATCGCGGCTGTACCTTCGGGATAGCTATCAGTGCTTTCATCCTACAAGAGAAAGATAAGTCAAGAATGTGTAATAATACAGTACACAAATAGTTATCTATTAAAAATCAGAGCATCCATTTGGGCTCCAATTGTTAACCAAGGCTATTTAAGCTAATAGACCAGTGTAGTGTGGTGGTACACTACAAAACTCAGACAACCTGAACGAATACTCACTTGATGCAGAATGGTTGCCATATGCTTCATTTATCATCTTGTGATAATAAGATTCAATCAGAAAGTAAAATACTATAACAAAAATAACATATTTGATATTTTTATTTCAATATACACATGGTGGGTAGGTACTTGGCCTCATTTGTGCATTCATCTATAAGTGAAGAATAAAATTATTTGATGCTCAAACGTATCTACGTTTATGGTTCAGCTGTGGTCAATTGTTAACAGAGATTTTCTTTTTCCATCAACAAGAAGAAGGCAACTCAAAACATAGAAATGACATTAAAAACAACCAACAAGAAACTACATTATATATTAAGTGGTCATATTAAGAAACAATTGCAATTTGATATTCCTGTTGCCTAACTAAAATATCTAGCTGAAATTTACCGCCACTTAGCTAGACCATTATCGACTATGTATAAAACTTGCACACATTTGTAAAACTGAAATAAGCTGCACATGTAGCAAAACTTGTGCTATCTAAGAGAGGCTATCCAATTACCGGTATAATTTTCTTTAATGAAGTTTGTCTTGTGAGATACAAGATTATATAAGCCATATAACATAAGGTCATGCTAAAACTTATAATCAATTGCCATTATTCTGTGGCTGCGTGGCATGGAGACTGAAGTTGATGATCAAACAATAAGTTAATCAATCCACTGACTGTTTGCATGACATACCAAATTGAAAGGAAACAAAAGAAAAAGAAACACACTCACCACGGGCTCTTCTTTATTAGATTCTTGTCAATGCAGTCGTTAGGGATAAGGGCTCCATTTGCATCAACTGATAATCTCGTTAACTTTTTCCTATATCAGAAGATTGAAGAAAATTGGACATACCACCCCATGGAAATCGTCAAGCTTAAAAGATGCCCTATCAATCTTATATAAAAGTAGGTTTACTTTATTTTTTCCCTCAGCTATGTATGATAAGTAAAAATGTATGTGAACTTCTGGCAAAAGTAATAACATAATAAAAAATGAGTTTGGGAAGCATGGAATGTATCAATTTTGTCCATTTCAATCCATGTGCATTGCCGTTCAAATTAGCTTAATTGCATTATACATAATAAGACAATGTACTAGTTAGTGGACAGGCAATACGGCAGATTTTGCATTTTCTTCACACAAGTCAGTATGAGCTATAAATAAAAAATAAAATCATGCATAAATGACAAGCAGACTTGATTTTTAAGCAAATATACAGTATTTCTTTATCTAAAATGTAAATGTAGTTACAAATAAGAATGCACATACATGCACACATAGGGAAAAGAACGCGGAAAGTATAATATGCACGCGTGTCTGGGCTTGTACAGATGAACACATGTTTGTGCTAATGGGTACCTAAATTGACAAGAGGCAAGACTGCAAGTCAGACCAACTACATGTTCAGCTAGTTCAGCTTCATCAGTGCACTGCCTTGAATGTACTTTGGAAAAATGAGTGGTTAATTTTGACAGAATCTGTAAGAAAAAAGACAAATTAAGAATGAATGTGTGTATGTTTTGTTGTTCTTTTAGATAGATCTGATCAAGACACATCTTCAGAATCCCATGCACTACGACATAACGTTTTGCTAACCTCTTCTATAGGCGGGCGCTTCCACCCACTGTAGTTGCTAGGATTCTTGTACTGCCCTTGTTCCCTATGGACAGTAGCAGCAAAAGGACAGTTGGGAAAAGGCAAAAAAACAAGAGTTAGTTGCGACAGTTGCTTGAATCTGAATCAGTATCAATTTAAACATTTCCATCAATATCAAGTAAAACTGTTATCAAAGTTACAGGTAGGATAACAAATAAACACCAACAAGACTGGTAGGTGAGCATAAAATATTTAGTAGTTCTCCCAAGTCGACATTTCAAATAAATACTGTACTACTCAGTACTCAAGACTAATGCTTTTACAATACATTGGAACGACATGAACCATTTGAAAAGACATGAGCTAAAAGATAAAAAATAAAACGTGAATAAGTGAACACTCTCAAGTACACGGGACTAATGCTTGTACATTACATTTGAACAACACAACCATTTGCAAAGACATGAGCCAAAAGATAAAATAAAATGTGGATAAGTGAACATTTGGTGTCGACATTGACAGTAAATTTTAGGCACGTCTAAAAAAATAATTAGGTGTAAAAAGGTGGTATACTGTGTAGAAATGAAGAAAGCGTAGATGGTAGGTGACTAGGTGTTTGAGGAGGTTTAAGAATTGCAGCCATGCAAATTAACAACATAATACTAACAATTTAAATATCAGTGATCCCCTAAAACCTAACAGAATGCACATGAATGCTCTTTGAACAAGTTTTAAATGAGGGCTGGACAAAACTCCCGAACCGGACCGGACCGAATCAAGCGGTTCTTCATAAGTTAAATACCCGAATGGGTATCTAACTGGAGAACGGATGGGTTTGGTTCGGTTCTCGGTTCTAGACCAAGAGCCGAATAAGAACCGAGTCTAAATAATTTTTTTAGTTTTTTATATTGAATTAATTAAATTATTTTAATTTTTTCTAAACGAATTAGAAAATTAACTAATTTAGTTGAACAAATTTTAGATTAATAGTGTACCTTAATATTGATTATCAATTATGTTAGTAGAGTTTCTTAGTATGACAAGTCAAGCAATTCATTTAGTGTTAGTATCTATTTTTTGGCATTTGTTTACATTGAATTAATCTTGTTGGACAACTTGTTATTTATATATTTTTTAATTTGGCTACTTTAATTTGTAAATGCTACGAATGAACATGTCATTAATTGTATTTATGCAGTGTTGCTGTAAATGTTATATAATTTTATTATAGTACGGAACTGAACTGAACCGAATAGAACCGAACCCGAACGGTTCTATAATTATATTTGGACCCAACGGTTCCATTTATTAAATACCCGAAAATTTTGGTTCGGTTCGATTCTGAAGAGAACCGAACCGACCCATGTCCAGCCCTATTTAAGTCCGCCATAACCCCTAGACATAATGTCCAATTGCCAATATAAATTGAATGCCAAAGCATCTCCAAGGACCAGACACTCCCAACTTAAATGTGTTTGTTTAATTTCACTGTCTTGACTTTCTTTTTATTTTTGAAGGCAACAAAATCTAGTTTGGACTTCACTTCTGGATGCTTACTGAGGTCAATCTAAAAATAAAAGCATGGTCATGGAACATTAAATTTTTTATGGAACTCATTGAAGATGTAATTGGACCTAAGATTTAACAAAAGCAGACAATCAAGCTTATATAGAGGAACAAGACACCTAGAGCTTGGTCGGAAGGGATTAAAATTGAAAAACTAGCCATTATTGTGACTTTTATTAGACTGGTGGGACCCAATAACGGCTATATTTTCAATTTTAATTGGATTAAAATCTCTTACAAACAAGCTCCTAATAAAATAGAATATGAAGCCTGAACCAACATCAATAGCCACCAGACTTTATGTATACTTCCACCAGTTTTCAAACCACATTGTTGTATCTTTCAACCATGAATGAAAAGAAATAAAGAGTCGACTGTCTAGTCAATTTATTTGTTTATGACTGGAATCATTCAGAAATGCATCTCTAGACCTTACATGTGACAATGAAATTGGATTTATAAATTACTCGGTTGAAAAGAAGTAAAAACCAATAATAGAACTGAAGCATAATATGAATGTGAGAAGTTATATACGAAAATAATGCCACCAACCTTTTATTGATGTAAGCCATAAGCCTATTTGTGAGATAACATATAGTATGATGTGGGTAATGTTGTTGAATGCTCTGAACGTGACCCATTAGAGAGTCATTCAAAATAAGGTTACAGAAATCTTCAGCCTCATAAATAATTAACACATAAGAAATTTCAATCTCTTGGGATGAAACCTACAGCATAGAAATGAAGTCAGTCATTCAAAAGACAATTAAGACTACTAGATGTTATGATGTACCAACACGGACACGTGCATTCAAACAAGTCAACATGCAATTTTTCAAAAAAGTACAGTTACGAGAGGACGCCAACTTAATAATTCAATTAACAGCAGTACAATGGTACCATATAACTACATATGTTGTTAAGATGGCAATACAAATTTTTTATATGCTAATATTGAAGGACTAATCAGACATCTAGTGTACACAATTAGGACCATAGTCAGCAGGGAAGACTCGGTAGAGATCGAAGTAAGAGCACCTCTAAATAGCATAAGCTTTATGATGTGTGTGCATGTATGCATATGTGAATATATATATACGTATATATATGTAGAGAGAGAGAGGGGGGGCTGAATGAGCAATTTAAATGGTTCATTGTGATTGAATGATGTAACTTGCACGCATCAGTCGTGTTCTCTTTCCTATTAGAAAAGAATAGACTTCCTGCATAACTGGTCTGAACCAATGCATAACTGGTCTGAACCTATACACACAAAATAATGACACTCAGAGAATTAATGTTGAAGAAGTTTTAAATAAATAAGTTTTGTCCTTTCTTTAACAATTTAAACTCTTTTTGATGAGTTAATTCAATATGGCAAAGAGTGGGAAAGTGGGAGCAGATCCGTATAACCACTTCAAGAGAAGCAAAAGGGAAAGAGCATGCTTTTTCAGAAGATTCGTTGATTTTGAGCACTAATTACTTGTGTGGTTTCTTCTGGAGCAGCCATAGTCCATACGATGGATCTCTCTACTGGATTTGATGTTATTCGGTATGAAAGACTCTTTTCGGCAAACCTTGTGAGCAAATGTCCTAAACCATAACAGGAAAACACCAGCTTAGTAACCTAACAAGAGAAAGTGAGTAAATAAAAGAACTAAGCATTGATGGATACCACCGATGGAACCCAGTTCAACCACTTTCGTGTCAATTTTGGCCATAATAGATTTTAGAGCATACTTCCCCTTTTCCCACTTCTGCATTTCTTTCTGATGTTTTCTCATCTTCGCAGCTTCCTCCTTAGAAGCAGCCTTTAGCAACTTCTCTTGCTATTTTACAAAATAGAATATATTTCAAGAATTTTCTCGATACCTGATAACCAAATAATGTGCCTGCAGACCAACTTATTGTGTGGGCATCAGACTTACTTCTTTCTGCTGTTTCTTTTCTTCCATCAAATGATGTCTCTCCTCCTTGGACATTTTCTTTTTTTTCATTCCATTCTTTGCTTCAGTTTTCTTAGTTGGCTTGTCTCCACTTTTGCCACTTCGTCTCAAGACTTGATCCAGTGGCTCTAAAATATCAGATCCGTCATCATGGTATCGACATGCCTAAACAGAACTTTATTAAATCGAAACAATAATAATCAAGTAAAGAATGATTTCTATGATTCAAAAATCAGTTTAGTATTGAGTCCTACGAAAATCATCATCAATGTCAAAATTTGAAATTTATTAATCATACGTAACTAGGAAAATATGCAGCAAGTGGCAAAAAAAAAGAGGAAAATTCAAACAATGGTAACTATTTGCAGAACCACTCCAGATCTAAGTCTTCACTCTATACTATCGTAAAGATGACTTCTCTATAAAAATTTTGTATATATAGAAGCAAAAGTGATCTTGATTAAAACTTTTAATGAAAAGGCTTCTTGAAGTTATAAAACAATGTATGTTTGTGAGCATTCATTTTCCAATGTTCCATACAACACAAATTTCTATGGGAATCTCAAAAAAAACTCTTCCCCTACTAGTATTTTTATCTGAACAAGAACAAAAAATTTGTAGGGTCAAAAATATCTGATTGGAAATGAATTCTCAATCAGAAATTTGTTGCAAGCATCGTTAAGGATGGAGAAACACGCAACTCTATAAACTTGTATTTTGAAGGGAATGCAACAGCCAAACATGTACAGCTATAGTACAGAACAAATATCTATTAAACTACATATTTGAGCATTGAAATATAATGAAAAAGAAAATTTACTCCAGATTCCAATAAGAATAATACTTTAGGAAAATAGTGATGATTCTCACGCATAAGGACAACCCACCGTAGATATGTCATCTTCCAGTGAACTTAAATGGCGATTGCTTTCAGGCATTTGCATTATGTCATCATTCCCCAGTGAGAACTTCTTTTGTAGTTCGATGGAAGAACCTGAAAGTAAATTCTAACTTCTAAGCAACTATACTGTTGCCTAATTTCACGATTAGAGCAGAATTGAAATGAAGTCATGACATTAACACTCGGATAGGTAATTGTACCTAGCGGAAATGACGATGCAACTATTCTAGAGTCAAATTCTGATTCATTTGCCAATTCTGCAGCAAAAACAGTTTCATTATTCTTCCAAGCTTCAATTCCACCAACATTTTCAGACTCCTCATCTGACTCCACACATATCAATGGATTGATTCCTGAAATAACAATATAACTTATAAATCAGTTAAAGGTTGAGCTAAGACGAAGGGGGCAAGAGCAGAATACATGGTACGCTAGACTATATTATACGTAGAACCAACCAAATAAGTGACATTCTGACATACTCTAAGTGGCAAACTGTCCTGTTCTGATAAATGCAACCGGTGATTCAATTATTTTATCAAAATCAAGAAGCGGAGACAAGTAGTTTAAAAGCGTAGACTACAAGACTAGGATTTCAATACTGATTTTGGAAAAAATAAGATAACACGACCAAAATTAGTAAATGAGCAGATATGGCCAGGAAATACAGAAAATGGACTGATAGTAACTCGGTGAGAATATGTATAACGTACACCAAGACATCAAGGATTTGGAACCAAGCAGCCAATTAAGTGCAAAATATATCACAGATTCACCGCAATTCCTTTGTCTTAAAATGTTTAAAGGTATTGAAGTGTGTGCAAACAACAAAGTAGAGAACATTTGGCAAACGCCCTACAAGTATTATAACTAAGAAATATTCAATATTTAAGTATTCCATGCAAAGTGTGTTCCATTGGAAGATTAGAGCTCATAATTTCAATACAACATCATTAAGGGTTCCATTTCTTAGTTCTCAATAGTCAAAAAAGCTTTGATGCCTAATGCGTCTACAAGATCTGATTTTGTACTCACGATCTCACGAGTTTTTCCTATATAACCTTTTCTTCAGGTTGATTATTTTCATATTTGCAGCAAGCCAGTCACTGTAGTTCAATAAGAACAGACTTTATTCAACTTAATTCAAAAATAATCCCACCTGTTAAACTCACCCGAAGTCTTAGTGTTTGAAATCAAAGAACTCCCAATTTCAGAATTGGAGAATCCTCTGTTGCAATTGACAATTGGAACTTGGGATTTCAAAAGCTCGGATACTGGTGTTTCAGCAACTACGTGTTCATCTGTGGATAATTATTAACCAAAATAAAATATCAAACATATTAATCCAAAACCCATACAAGCATATAATTAATTAAGCTCACACCGGCTTCATTGCATGTGCATAAAAAGTTTGTCTTTTCATTCAATAGATAAACACAGATGTTAGAATTACCAAAAAAAAAAGGAAGTGCGGCATGAAGAAATAAATCGTGCATGTCGTCTATAACACTGGGCATCAAATATTTCTTCACCAGTACAAAGTCAAATAGTAGCCGAATTGTTTCAAGTCTGAAGTAATTACGCCCCAAGAAGCTCTATTCCCAAATGGGATAGGAATTTGAAAAAAGAAAATAATACTTCAACGCTACGTTTGGAAACGTAAAAAATAGAGGGCCTCGAAAAGTGAATAGAAATATGATCCCATCCAAATTAGAAAAGATATTTCCAAGAGTTCCAATTTTGGGTCTCCAGAGCCTTTCCAAAGATAGTAAAAGACACGATTAAAATTTGCCCTACCAGAAGACAACGATTTTCCTTGGGAGCATTTGACGATTGAGGCATCCGAGAACGGGGTCTCAGGGACGGAGGAAAGAGTGGAGGAGAATTGTTGGCCTGCAAAAGACATTTGCGGCAACTTACACGGCGTGGGATCGTCGTCAATGATGAAGACTGTCGAGTTCGACAAATACTCTTTTCTTTGTTTCTTTTTCGAGTGAGCAACCGAGAGTGGCGGCGTAGTAAGGTCTATGGCATCGTTTCGGAGAGCAGGCCGGCGGTTATCGTCGGAGTCGGAATCGGAGAGGATGTCAACCGATATTGGCTGTGACATTTTCCGTGACGAAACGACGCGTGCGCGCACAGAGAGAGAGTTTGAAAGTGGTTTTAAACTTTTAATCTTCTAAGGCGGGAAGATTGATTGGGTCGGGCCGTTTGGAGTTAATTGGATCTGAAAATGAAATAGAAACTGACATTGTTTGGGCTTCATGGTCGAAAGGCGGGGGCCGATTTTCTTTAGGGCCGCCAGGAGAACTTGGAATGTTAATCTGACCCTTCTTAGCCACAAACGCTAACATAATTCCACAACTCCCTCTTTAAATTATCTATCTTGTTTTTCCTATAGTTGATTTGGACATAGTTTCGGCAATTTTAATGTTAAGTTTTCGCAACTCGCAAGTGTGCGAAGCAACGAGGGTTGTCCGGAACAGTGTCAATGTCAAATGCGACCTCAGAGTGCAAGCAATTTTGTAGTAATGGGCTTGTCTTAATATTAGGACAGATGGAGAGCTAGGAAACAACTCTCTCATAATAAAGAGGTTGACTCAAACTAAAAGGAAAGAAAGGCTCACTTCAAGGTAAATGATTTAGTTGGTCGTATTCGAGCTGTATTAGTCAAAGGTTACCGGCAACTCTCGACTACACAACATTAGTAAAGGGAATCTATGAAAGAAAATTCTCGAAATAAGTAAACCCATTTATATGTTGACAGTAATTGTGTGATTGTGTCAAGAACTTTATTTCATGGGGCACGAGTAGCCTAATTATTTACGAAGTTATTTAGGGCGTGTTCGGTAGAGATTAAAATTGAAAAATTAGTTGTTATTGTTGACTTTTATTAGACGAGTGAAACCCAATAACGACTATATTTTCAATTTTAATTGGATTTTAAGCCTAACCAAACATGCATCTATTATCTAATCCCAACCATAATCTTCCACTTAAGTGATCGTCAATAATTAATTACTCCTGATATAACCGACGAGACACTTGCAGCTCCAAAAGCTTCAATACCAAACAAGACAAAGTTGTAAGGAACTAGTGTCGAAAGGACTTTCTTTGCCGACCGCTCTTAGCCACAGGTCAAGAGCAACCTCTGTAGATTGCAAATAATCAAACATATGCACGTGACGTTGTACAATTCGTCACATTCATGTCTACACAAATTGAACCCTAATTCTTTTTCAATTTCGTGGGACCAATCACAAAAAGTAAAATTATATCATGGTTTCGTGGATAGAATAGTAAGCAAAATTCATTGTATATATGTGACCATAATCTATAATATATAAATATCAGTGATAATTATTTTTTGAACGATTATAACCTTACTATAATTCAATTATTTCAATAATATCTTACTTTTTATTTTTCAATATAGATTTCATTTATTTAACCATTTGAACAATAATACGTTAAATATCATATTAAGGGAAAATCATTTTTTGGACTTTTTACCCCTACTACAATTTAATTATTTCAATAATACTTTACTTTTCGTTATTCAATATGTATTTAATTTATTTAATCATTTGAACAATATTATCATGAATTATTTTGTTAACTATTTAATCACCATCAATGCACATTTGACAAATTCATTTTACTTATGCACTTTCACTACATGAAACCCAATTACAAACTTTAACTACAAGATCATTGTTCATATATGAATTCCTTGTTATTAATTCTCAATTAATTAACATTCACATTCATTTAATTAACATTCATCTTTATTAATGCATTTTAGTGTTATTAACATTTATGAATTTCTTGTTATTAATTCTTAATTAATTAAAATTCATATTCATTTAATTAATATTCAACTTCATTTACGCATTTTAGTGTTATTAATTTTAATTATAAGTTAATTAGAATTTCACATTCAAGAATCAATTTCATTATTCACGTCTATGTATATTAATTAGCATCTCATTCACTTATTGAAAATTAAATTATATTCATTTAGTATAGATAATTTAATATTCATTGTCACGTATATATTTTCTGATATTAATTCTAAATTAATTGACATTCATATTAATTCATGTATAATATTTGTTTTAACCATTTAAACAATATTTAATGGATTATTTTTCCAACTATCTAGTTATCATCAATGTTTTATAAATCGACTCGGCCATCGACCAGAAAAATGAATGGGTAAAGGGTCAAAAGATTGAATCGGGGTCGAACCTGGATCAAACCGATGATTTTTAAAAAATTAAAAAATATATACATTTACAAAAATAAATAAATAAATATATATATATACACACATTAAAAATTTTGAAAAACTATACATTTACATAGGTTGAACCGGGAATGGGTCACCAGTTTTTCAAAAACCAACCGGTTTAACTAGTTTTGGGATATGTTTTTAATTAGAGAGTTTATAAGTTTAATCGGACTGGTTTTGGTCCCGATTCCAGGTTGAACCGGTCGAGTCGAGTCGAGCCGAGACGATTTTTAAAACATTGGTTATCATCAATATAAATCTGATAGATTCATTTTACTTGTATGCTTTCACCACATGAAACCCAATTATAAATTGTAATAAATACTACAAAATTATTTTTCATTCATGTATTCTCTGTTATTAATTCTTAATTAATTAACATTAACGTTCATTTAATTAATATTCATTTTCAAATATTACTTTTACAATACTTATAGAGTATTTTTAGAATCACGTACAATACATGTTCAACTCTGATTAGTAATAATAAAAAGATAGATAGTTCAAATATTAAAGTGTAGTATTAATAAATGCATGCACAATGAATTGTAAAGAGAATCAAACGGTTGTTAAAAAAGGGTATACTCTTTTTTTTTTTTTTTTTTTTTTCAAAAAGGGTAAATTTTTAGCCCCCATCTAGTTTAGCTAAAAATCATATTTTTGAACACATAAATGGAGAAACGTAATTAACAGAAAGAGGTCATTTTTCAATGATGAAAATGCAATGTCAATCGTGCTTGGTGTACATCACGGTGTAAATTATTGTTTACACTTTATCATATTGTCTTATTCAATTGGACAATTTAAAAAAATTAAAAAAGTTTTTTCAAGCAATTATTTGTTGACAACAATGGTGTAATAAATGAGTGTACAATTGGCATAATCCATGCAATTTATGCCCTTGTTTGAGCCCTATTAAATGAGTGTACAAATGACATAGTATATTGATGGAGAATGTGATTAAAAAATGAGGAAAATTTTTAAATTTACTTGTATGAATATTTTATTGAAAAATGTGTGGTTGAAAAGAAAAGAGAGAAAAATGAAATTTTGAATTAATGGGGATCAAACAAGGGTGGAATTGAAGCTGTTTCACTGCACGCATCTCGAAATATGAAGAACGATGTTAAACAATGAAAAAGACACATGCAAAAGTAATTTATAACCTATAGATTCTTTAAAATAGATTTCGTGAAAAGTAAAGTTATGAAAAATACGAATTTAAGCGTAAAATTATTTTATTGAAAGAATGTGATATTGAAAATGAATTTGTGGGAAAAAAAAAAAAAAATCTGTACCCAACTTGACAACAAATTCTAGGTTGGTATGTGCAAAAGCAATAATTGAATTAGTTAAGTGACTGTGACCAACTCCATCACAAAAATAACCATCTACACTATTCCGTATGCCACGCGAACGTTGTCCCTGGATATGATTCAAACCATGCAAATTTCATTGCCAAGCACGTGATGGACCATCCATGTCAAATTTTCATGTTCTGCTAAACCTAGGCAATGAAATGTCACATGAAACTTTCCTAAAGACGTTTGTGATTATACTTGTCGGCTGGATATTCATTCAATTTCAGGGTTTGGGACCCTTCTGTCTCGGAGAAGAAGATCATAGATTTGTTGCGATGGCTGTCGGGATCCTGAGGTGATGGTTGCTGGCAGTAGCTCCTCATTATAAACCCTATTATTGAAACTTGTATAGTCTGCACTCTGCAGGTGGATGGAAATTGATCATAACCAAGCTATCGACGCACTGTTTTTGAATTAATCAAGCTTGACAACTAGTGAGTTGTCAATATTCGCACTGTTTATTTAAAAAAACAGCTTTTAACATAGATGGATGTGATTTCTGCCAATTATGAAGTTGTAAAAGAAAATTATTACCTGCACTTTTAGAATTAATTTCTTTCTGAGATATTTTCTAATTAAAAATTAAAATATAGTGTTGATCGAAAAATGTGACGCGGTGTCTTTTGATCAAATTAGTGGCGGTGAAATTGCGTCTGTCAGACCAATGAGGTGCAACTGTCGAAGAATCAAATTAACAAGGTGAGAAGTTCTCTGAGCTCAAATGTGTTTCTTATGGAAAGTTGTAACAGTTGTGTACGTTTCTTGGTAGAACTGCCCCCCTTATATTGAGGTTTAGAGAATTTACACCGTTTTAGATACTTCAATCACACGAGATTGTCTTATCAACAATGTTCATTGATGGGCTAGATTTCGATTGCAAGCAAGCGATCCAAACTCATTAAGGTGGTGACTATTCCAGTTCATATTCCTTCAAGTAAAGCTTTGAGTCTTCCGGTATAAAACAAATCAAAATTTTGTTCCGTTAGGTTAGGTTAGGCATTTGTATTCTTATTCCATGATGTTGGTTTATTCATAATATTGTAAAGGTAAATCCGAGCTCGCAACTCGGTTCTTGACCATGACATGTATGGTGGGGTAGCATAATTAAAAAAAAAATTAAATTAAATTAAGAGACAATATATTCGATACCTAGAGATTTGCTAAGGTAAGGTGACCTTGTAGAGTATTATTCATATAAGACAAATTATTTGGGTTCAAATGATATATCATAGACTGAAACCTAGCTTACAATAACCGGTGGCTCGGATTTGAGTAGGAAACACAAGTTGTTTGCTTCGATCGCACACATAATCAACCTCAAATTTAGCCACCATTTATCTCTGTTTAAAATAAAACTCTTTAATTCTCATACTCATTTTCAATCACACACTGACACAATAAAATATTTTGCACGTAAACCTAAAAATTTTCTTACTTTTTTAACCACACATTTTC